ATTTACGTAAAAAATAGTGTCATATTTAAATCTTTTATTAGGTAGATAATATTGCTAAAGAAATACGCAATGCATCAAAGCAATATTCTATTGTATTTACATCTGGTGGTGTTGGACCTACTCATGATGATGTAACTTATGAGGCTGTAGCAAAGGCTTTCGAATTAAAACTTGAATTAAATCAGGAATTATTTGATATATACACTCGAATGAATCCTGATCAGGTCGAAATAAAACGACTTGCTATTGTTCCTAATGCTTGCAAGATTATCATCATTGATTCAGGTACACATATTTTCTTTCAAAACTTACAGTTTCTTCGCTCTCAGCACACATATGTTGCCATTGTCATGATCCTAAGTCATTTTTCCTTAATAATTAGATATCAGTCTCTTATATTAGTTTTAAAAATATTAAAAGTTAAAGTGCAGTTTTAGTAGTAAATTTTCATCTTGGAGAATATACTCCGATGACTTCACCCTCGATGTTGTCATGATCCTGAATGATCTTCAAAGGGTTTTAGTTGGCAGTCATTCTTTATTATATCCTCGCTCACCAGACTTTTTTTTGCTCACGCGGATGCCATTCATGAGATACTGGATATTTTGGTATGCAATTACGGAGTAAATATTATTAATTTTTGTCAAGAGTAGTTTTCTCTGATAATTTTGAGTAATATGGAACGTGCTATCAAAAGTTAAATTTTATTATTATAATATTATACAGTATAAAATCATTATTTAAAAAAAACGTGTTCTCATGATTTAATGAAATTTTCTTCAAACTTTATAAAAATGTTTTATAGAAATATTTGAAATTTATCTTAATCTTAATTTATATTTTTTATTTTGCATTTTATTCCTATATACTGTAAAGTTTCCACAATAATGTTTCAAAGAGGAAATAATGGTAAACATGAAGCCTCGATGATTTTAACTTTAATGTATGTTGTAATGACTCTAAATGACTTCCAACAGGTTTTAGCTGTCTTTCGTTATTCGCTAAAGCTTAAGAGAATCCTAAAGTTGTCTCACTTTACCATTAATTCCATTCGGCGATAATTCTTTACGAACTGAATTTACGGATTGCAAAATTGTTTCTATATTAAAGTACGTGCAAATAAAAAACATTCGGAATATTGGATTTCAGAGAAAATCGAAAAAAAAAATTTAAAAATTCATTTACTTTTGATTTGTACACTTGAGATTAATATTGATTTGATAAGAGTTTTATAATTCATGAATGAAAACGACAAAATTTATGCATGATGAAAAATTCATATCCATTTTTTTCATCTTAGTATATAATATTAACATATGATATTATATTTTCAGAGGCTTTTCCAGTAATAAATATAAAAAATGTTTACGTGCTACCTGGTTCCCCAAAATACTTTAAGCCTGCTGCAGACACAATAATTTCTCGTTTGAAAGGATGCACGCCATTTCACTTTGAACATATAGATATTGCATTGAATGAATTATCAATAGTAAACGTTTTAGATAAACAAGCAAAACGATGGGATGGTAAAATAAAAATTGGTAGTTATCCTCAATATGAATTGCAAACACCTTTTACGAGAATCACTTTAGAAGGACCTAAAGAAACAATTGCAGAAGCAAAAGAGGAACTTTTGTACCATTTGCCAATACAAAAAATTATAAATTTGAAACATAAATTCAGCAATTTTCAAATGAATATTGTACTGGAAAATAGTAAAAGTGAAAAGCATATTAAATGTGCATTAGACATATTGAATGATTGTTATGAAAGGTATATAACATATTATATCGCATTAGGATATTATAAATAAGCAGAGAAGCGTGGTCGTGGCTGAATCTTAGTGCTAATATGTCTAATTTATATGTGAATTTTTAATCCTTGGTTAGCGCACGTATTTTTACTTCCATAGTTACTGAACAGGAGCATCCTCTCAATCAAGTGTCTCTAATTTTTTAGTTTAAAATGCATTAATTAAATGTTTAAAACTTGTTTTGAAGGATTTAAAGAAGAGCCTCATATAAATTGCCGCTATTAATAATCTGTTATTTGTTCTTTATAGATATAATCAAAATGAAATTTTCATTAGTTTCAATGGTGGTAAGGATTGCACAGTAGTTTTGCATTTAGCTGCTACCATCGCTAAATTACGTAATATTTCATCTTTACTGTGCTTATATGTAACAGACGATTCTTTTCCGGAGGTAAGAGTCCTAACCATTAAATAGATAATAAAAGATGTAACGAGAATATATTTTTTTTCACACAAGCACTATGCGCTATCTCTGTTACTGAATTGAATTCTGAATGGATCAGATCGATTGAATTTGATCCATTAAAAAGTCTGTACTAAATGAATTGATCTATTGGAAATCGATTCAAAGGATATTTTTTTAGTACGACAGTATAAATTTAACAAAAGCAATTCAACATTAAGCAATAAAACATCGTTCTAATTTTCCTCTAAGTCAAATAATTTTAATTTAAAAATCTAGATACACACTCACATACAAAATAACATACGTAGTTATTAACTATATAAACGCAATTAAATTCGGTTTCATAACAATTGGTATTACATCATCAAAATCGGATTTAACTAACATTATACAGTTTATCCAGTAATTAGTTAATAATTACAGATATAATAATGAAACTCAATTAATGATGATGTGTGAACGTAATCCGTTGTATACTGTTATGCCATTAAAAAATTACAATTGCTAACTAGGTAAGGTGCCATCTGCAAGGATGCCATCTGCATTCGGAAATTTTAATGCAACTTTAACTCCGCGTGCATCAAAATATTCTATTCTTGTTTAATATTCAGTGAGTCAGGAATAAAATGATGTACCCTGAAATCCTGGACGTATATCTGCAGTAGTCAAAATTTGACTAAATTGAGAAAAGAAGACACAAATGTGTGATACAACGTGCTAAAAGCATACGTAAACATCGTGAACTATTCATTTTTAATTACTAATTAATTTTATAGTAATTACTAATTACTATAAAACGTTTCGAAATGCAGAACATATCTCAACAGTTATGTTTTCTGAAAATAAAGATAAACGCAATTCTTTTTGAAGTAATCGCGATTTCTTATTAAATTAATCGATCTACGTTAAATCAGCCCGGATTCAAAAAGTGATTTTTTGGGCAAAAAATCAATCTTTATGATGGCAAATTTCTTGTCCCTACTCGGTGCCTGCGTTGGCGAGACAAAGAACGTAGCCAAAGAACGGGAAGGGAAATTAAAAGCTGTATCTAGCATATCTTCATGAAAGCTTAAATAAGTTGGCACAATTTAGAATGGGGATTAACTAGAAAAGGAAATATATTTTGTGTATAGCCTGGATTTGAATCAAACAAATATTTATCAGTCTCTGTAATTTATTGCGAATATGAGAAATAACATAAAAAGGATATGACTTACATCCTGACAAGAATATCCGCAAATTGGAGAAAAGACAATATTCTTCCTATAAAGATTGTAATTCAAATTGTAGTGATTACTTCTTAATCTATTTACCGCTATCGTTGTCATATTAAGGAATTGAATCAAGATTTGACTATGAAAAGTTGGAAGAAAAATGCGTAGACACCCGTTTTTTTGGCGACTCATTCATAAATATATTTTTTATATCAGAGTAAAAAAAAAATATATATATATATATATATGTAAGAATCTTTTGTTTTTATACTGATAAATATTAGGTGTAGTAAAAAGAAATCCATTATTTTTGCATGAAATTGAATGGAAAAATAATGGATTTCTTTTTATTACACCTAATATAATCAAGCCACTTTTTACCAAAATTAAAAATATAACTGACAGATTGATTTTTTTCATTTATGCTATTAAGTACTTTTTTAATTGTTTTTTAATTTTTAAAATAGTAGATATATCATTTATCCTATAATTGGTCCTATCTTGAATCCTTTTTCAAATAGAATACATATCTATTGATATTCTGTATGTGTAGGTAGAAGCATTTGTGGAGTCAGCTGCTCGATATTATGGTTTGGAAATAATACGGATGCAACAACCGATCAAATCCGCATTATTTGCATTACTGGAAAAAAAACATTATTTGAAGGCAGCTGTTATGGGTACGAGAAAAGGTGATCCAGGTTCCGAAAATTTACGAGCATTTACACTCACTGATCCGAACTGGTCACAATTGATGCGTGTAAATCCCATTTTACATTGGTCCTACAGTCAAGTATGGACATTTTTATTAAAGCACAATATTCCTTATTGCTCACTTTATGATCAAGGATATACGAGTATTGGCAATAGAAATACTACGATACGAAATCCGTTGTTAAAGGATCCTAATAATCCTTCGTTTTATTTACCAGCCTATACTTTGATCGATAAATCTGCCGAGAGAAATGGTAGAGAATGTGAAAAGAAATAATATTTAATTTTTTAAAATTTAATGTAATCCATAATCACACATACACGCGCGCGCGCACACACACACACACATAAACGAATTAATATTGTGTATACTAATTAGTATTATTAATATACATTATCGCGTTAACATTAATTATTTCTTTATAAGTCATTCTTTATTTTTATAATATATGTATTGTTGTAATATATGTATTTTAATACAAATAGGATCTTGTTACGTATTAATATGAATCTTGTTATTATATTAATAAATTTAATTATGCACACAAATTATTTAAATACTTATATTTAATAGCTATACTTATATTTAATAGTTTTGCAAAATAAATTTTATAAAGACTTACGTATTCTTTTACTTGAAGAATTTGACCTCAAAAACTATTCGATCACAATCAACGTTCTAATATGGGTTCTGTTACTGATAAATATATAGTTTATAGTTAACTGACGTAACATAGTAGCATATATATAGTGCCTATCAGCAAATTGAAGATTATCTTCGACTAATCTTCTTCGGAAGCCATTTAAGCTTGGATTTGAATGGATTTAGATTTCACAAATTTGAGTTACCGCGATGCATATAAAGATTCGATGTTATAGAGAAATGAAGTGGAGTCTGAAATTAGTAAATCGACATGGTGAACGAAAGTATTCATTGGGAGGCAAGAGTTCTATCAGCAGAACCAATACGATTGCTTGGATGGAACGTCCCTGCTGAAGAACTGATTCATATACCAGAACATTGGCTGATCTATCCTGAACCCAATCCTTCTCTTCATTATTTATTAGCCATTGTATACATAATTTTCACTTTTGTAGCGTTACTCGGAAATGGACTTGTTATCTGGATATTTTGCTCGTAAGTTACACATACAGTTGAACATTAACAATAAATATTGCTTAACTTACATAATAATGTTGTGTAATATAAATTTCAATTTTTAATAAGCATTATTTTTTGGAATTAATAAAATTTATTTATTTAATTGTGAATTCTTAATAGATACATGTTAGTTTATTAATTCTTACATTATAATTTATGCTAAAATTTAGCATGTCATTATATATACTAAGCGTGTTGTTTATCTTTCAAAAATCTTCTTTTCTCTGTAGAGCCAAATCACTAAGAACATCTTCAAATTTGTTTGTGGTGAATTTGGCATTTTGCGATTTCTTCATGATGATCAAGGCACCAATATTTATATATAATTCCTTTAATACCGGATTTGCTACTGGTCATTTAGGATGTCAAATCTTTGCTTTTATCGGTTCGCTTAGTGGAATTGGAGCTGGTATGACAAATGCTGCTATAGCGTATGATAGATACAGGTATAAATATCAAGTAAAAAGTTTATTAATATATATCTGACAACTATGAAGTTTTACGTAATTGAAAAGTAAATAAATTCCAAGATTGAATTCTAAATTTAAACAGTAAAAAATTTTAAATTTTAGGATTTTAAATTATTCAGATTATGTTTGAGCAAAAAATTTGAAAATTATTAATATTTATTTATTAGTGATTGATTAATGATTTATTAATGATTTAAGACTTTTGTTCGGAGCATCGAAAACGTACTTCAATTCCAGCTAATTTAATCGGGAGTACATTTCCAAAATATTTTTATGAGATTCTTTCTTCACATTCTTGCATATCCTCCGTTTTAAAACAAAACATTTAATAATTATTATTGTAAAACAATATATTATTGTAAAACAATAAAGTTAGAGAGTGAACTTAGACTATCTCGACATTGTTAATTTCTATAGTTCTGTAATTTAAGAAGGCGATTACAAAGAAAGTTTCCAAATGAAAATTGTTTATTTTGAGATTATAAATTCACTTTAAATTTGGCGATTTAATCTGGGAATATCTTATATGACTTGCTAATGATATAATTTTAATGATATAATTACATGTATACGTTACAGTGTTATAAAATTAGTGTTATAGCTCGACCACTTGATGGAAAACTATCTCGCGGTCAAGTGATACTCTTTATTGTACTTATCTGGGCGTACACAATTCCATGGGCCTTGATGCCAATAATGCATGTTTGGGGTCGGTTTGTGCCTGAAGGTTTCTTGACAAGCTGCACTTTCGATTATTTGACAGATACTCCAGAAATACAATATTTTGTGGCCACGATATTTACCTTTTCTTATTGTATACCAATGTCACTTATCATATATTATTATAGTCAAATTGTCAACCACGTTATTGATCATGAGAAAGCTCTTCGTGAACAAGCAAAGAAAATGAATGTCGAAAGTTTAAGAAGCAATGTCAGTGCAAATACTCAAACTATGGAAATACGTATAGCTAAGGTATTCTTCATATATATAAATTTTCTCTCCTTTTGTTACAAATACAGAAATAAATTTGCATACATACAAATTACACACATAGTATAATTATTTAGGAATTGTTCTCATTCTGCATATAAAAGTACTAATAAGAGTGCGTAAAAATACAGTTATCAAAAAATCAAGTTTTTACGATATAAATAAATTGAAATATATCTTATCAAATTTTGTTAGTGTTTTGAAAAGCTCTCGAGATGAACTACAAGAATATGTAATGAAAAATGGGAGTTTTAATTTAAAAAATTCTCCCGTTATAGATATACTCTCTATTTTGCTCAAACAATAACTTAAAGCTATTATTTCATAAAATTGAATTTTTTCTTTGCACTACTTCACCATTTCCTGTATCTGTTACGTAAACATTAAAATGAGAAAATGAATAAGTGATACAAGAGCGAGCAACACATCGACTTATCAATTATTGTTACATATATATTCATCATATATATTAAATCACATGTGTTTAAAGAATTTATGACATGCGTCAACTTTTTTATAGGCTGCAATAACAGTATGCTTTCTCTTTGTTCTCTCGTGGACTCCATACGGAGTTCTCGCGATGATCGGTGCTTTTGGAGATAAGACATTATTAACTCCTGGTATCACAATGATACCGGCATGCACATGTAAATTTGTGGCCTGTCTGGATCCATATGTATATGCCATAAGTCATCCAAGATACAGGTAGAGAAAAGTGAAGAATTGTTTTTTCTTTTTTATTTAAAATTCCATATCATAAGATAATTATATTTGATCTATTACTGCAGCTTATGATTATAATGTCAGATGGTAAAACAGCCTCTTACATATCTTATGAGAAATTAATTTCTAGTGGAATTCGTTTAAATATCTCTCAAAATGGCCTATCACATCCATCTACATTATATCTTCCCACCCCCTCACCACTTTAAACATCTTATTCCTATATCACCTCAGAATATTTTGATCAGTGTATTCTTACACATTCATGAACATTATTACCTATCCTTGCTGCACTTCACCACTAATCCTAAACATTTATGAAGTTCCCTTTTATTATGTAACTAAGAGATATTTCAACATTATTCATTTTTATATTTTTGATAATTTAAGAAATTAATATGTTTCAAATGCAAGCAAACTTCCAGAGGAAAATTTTGTTTTGGGATTTTGAAATCCAATTTTTGAGGATGAGTTTGAGAATTTAATCCGGGAACATCCCGTACAATAGTAAATTCATATTTATTTAATTTCTTGTTTTTACAGGACTGTAAAGCTGTATTAATAGATCCATTTTTGATAAATATTTGGTAATAAAGATCACCCTCTAATGATTTTGACATATTGTCATGGTCATGACTGAGTAACTTCCAGGCTCTGATGGGTTTTAGCCCAGCATTATCTATTAAAAAAATTACTGACAAAAAAATATTCATCAATAAAACGTAACTTTTGAATACGATTCTTTTCCGATGAAAAAAATTCTCTATTCTAAAAACATTGTTTCTCTCTTTCAAAGCATAAATTTTCTGCTTTAAAAACACATGTTCTAACCCTTTGAACTTGAGAGGCGACTTTGAGCCTCCACCGAGTTTTATATGGCAACTCGAGCGGCGAAATATGTCAAGGTCATTGAAGGATGGTCCCTAATATCCCTATCATTAAATATTTACCCAATTTTTTAATATTGTTAAAATTAATTCAGAATAATCATTTTATTCTGCAACAGACTAGAACTGCAAAAACGATTGCCATGGTTAGAATTGCAAGAAAAATCTACGGACACGCAGAGTTCTACATCCGAAGTAGTGAATGTGCCATCATCTTAAATCTTGTTTAATTTTATCTTAAATAGTAATTATTTAATGATCGCTTGCTATAGTCACCATTAAAATTATGTTCTTTATTACTGCAGTAATAAAATAATTGCGTAGTCTATATTAATGCAGTTACAAGTAAATAATTGTAAATATATAAATGTGAATAATGTAAACTCTTAATAAATACATTGTTATTCAGTCTTCCTATTCTTTGTTATGATCATGTTTATTGCTAACGTGTGATACTTCTTGTCTGTTATACAAAAGACAATGTTGACATCATATATGTAATTGTATTCTCTTTAAATCTTTGCTTTTATAACATTTCTTTTTTATAGGTTTATAACTTCACGTTCATTGATATTGAAGTATTGATATTGAATTTCTTATAAAAATGATAAAAAGACGAAATCAAATTTCTTTATATTTTTCACATGTGTACATTGTAACTTGTGTACACATATTCCGTCACTGCAAGTTAGAACTAGGTTTAGGGGGTCAATTCTGATCTTCAAATAAGGAGATCGATTCTGTATCTCTGTATCTTCAAACAAGATAAAAATTAAAGCAAGTAAATATACTAGGTGTTGACCAATGAAATAATCAGTATTTTAATAAATTCGCTCACTTTTATAATTTTCAAGATACAGAATCGATCCTTAGATTAGGATTAGAGACGCGTTAAAGTTAGACAGAGATACAATATATTCTGTTATATAATATATTTTTTGTTACAGATTTTATTGAAATAATATAAAGCGTTGATTTCAAAATGCAAGCTTCAGATTGGCTGTCGCAACAAACTTGCAACTAATGTAGAACCGGCTTAAGAGGCATAGTGACCCCTGTATGTTGTATGTGTGCGTGCGTGCGTGCGTGCGTGCGTGCGTGCGTGCGTGCGTGCGTGCGTGTGTGTGTGTGGTGTGTGCACATATTATATATATATATATATACACATATGTATATATATATATACACACACACACACACACATACATACCTGCTGTTTACACGTTTAATGGCCTAGTTTCCACCGAAGGTTTAATCTGAATCAGAATGTAAGAACCAATTATCTACAGTCGAGCATTTCCCTGTTGTTCGACTGTAACAAGGGAATACTCAACTGTAATTAATTGGTTCTTACATTCTGATCCAGATTAAACCCAGTGCTTAAGGGCACAATAAAAGGAACAGGGAACAGAGAATAGAGAATAAGAATTTCAACCTATCAGAAACTATATAATCCACAATATATGATTTCTGATAGGTTGAAATTCTTATTCTTTGTTCTCTGTTCTTTTTTTGTGCGGAGCCCCTTAGACCCTTATTACGGGCCGAATAATAAGAGATCATTAGTTGCTTAGGATTGAAAATGTTAAAAATTTTTAAATTTTATTAAAATTTTCAATATTTTTGAAAAAATTTTACATGCAAAATTTTACACACATTTTATAGGCGACTAATTATCTCCTATTTATTATAAGTGACCGGTATGTTATTGAAGATATATTGGACGCGCATGCGTCTGATTAAACTCTATGGAAACTAGGCCAATATCAGAGCCATTCCACAAAACTTGCATGCCGCATAAAATTATCCAATCACATTTCTGTCATAAAGGTAAACGTAAAATATGATTGGATGATTTTCTTTATGCATATGTTTATGCGATTATGCAAGTTGTGTGGAATGGCCTTCAGAATCGTTTAGACCGCAGTACAGACTTTTGCATAATGCGTAGTGCATAAACGAATCAACTAATCTTTCTTTTCCTCCTATTCCATGAGAAAGAAAGATTCAATTAGTTGATTTCCTTGCACTATGCATGATGCATTAAGTGTGTTATGCAAGAGTGCAAGTCGCGGCCATTAGATATTAAGTCGCCATTAGATCGCCGAAATCATCACAATTGTCTAAGGATTAAAGTACAAAGCATATACCAAAGTGATGAAAATAATAATGTAATAATGATGTACATACAATTAATTATTACATGATATCAAAATCAAATAGGTCTGTTTTTAAGAGTGCTATACAAATATATCAGGATACACAGTAATATTTCGCGCCAATTGAATTTATCGGAACGCGAGACATATGTAATGATCATGTCAATCACGTGTCGTTTCTTAGCAATAATATATTTGACAATATTTTATTTCGAAGAACAAAATATACGATGCTTTACAAGTTTATTTCTATACAAGTTTATATCTATACCGAATAATGTCATTGATGACATTTCAAATCAATTGTTATGTCAATTGGTTCGAAGATAAATTCTATACTATGCAAAAGTATTAAGTAAGCAAAAGTATTATAATTTAATTTTACTTGATAATTTGATTTTTTATTGGAACATATTTGCTCTACATTATTTTCTTAACACATTTGTATTTTTTTTATCAAATTGAAATATTTTGTACTCAATTGCATGGCAAAAATATAAAATATTTGCTTAGTCACTTAGATTAAATTTATTACTTAAGCTTGTAATATTACAGATGAAGTATTAAACGATGATAATTATAAAAAGATACCGCTGGTTCACTGGAGTTTTGAGATTATTATCTCAGGACACATATTCCAACTTCAAGCTATTAAACTACACAGCCATGAATTTTAGGCCATGTATAAAGGTTTATAGTTCCTCTGCAATACAACACAATAAATATAAGAATGAAACGAATCCCAATATGCAGAAGAATACTTATTCTTTGTTGAAAATAGAAAATATATCGGCTCATGTCAAGTCAGTAAGTTTACAACAAAATAGATATTTAAGCATTGCTGCAAAGCTAGTCAATAATGCCTCACCTAAGGTGCAACCATACATGAAGCTTATGAGGATAGATAAACCAACAGGTAAAACTTAATTATTTAATTATTTATTATAATTAATAAATAATTATTGCATATACTTCAATTCTTTTCTCAATTTTTTATTAGGAAGCTGGCTACTATTTTGGCCTTGTGGATGGAGTATTGCATTGGCGGCTCCTGCCAGTTCCTTACCAGATCTCTATATGTTAGCACTTTTTGGTATAGGTGCATTTATAATGCGTGGTGCAGGATGCACCATAAATGATATGTGGGATCAGGACATTGACAAAATGGTACAATCCTCTATAATTTTAATTTTGTATTTTGAATATCACTGTTTATATCACTTATTGTATCCTACATTATAGGCAGAGAGAACGAAGGATAGACCTTTGGTAATAGGTCAAATAACGCCAAAACAATCGCTAATATTTCTAGTTGGACAGTTGAGTCTGGGATTGCTTATATTATTACAATTAAATTGGTATAGCGTATTTCTTGGTGCCAGTTCATTAGGTACTGTATGTTTATTTAAGGTCTATAATTTTATATTTAAAATTAAATTAATATTTGATGTAATGTATCTTGATCTTTCCTTTTAGGTCTAGTAATAATGTATCCCCTAATGAAACGAATAACGTATTGGCCACAATTAATTTTGGGAATGACTTTTAATTGGGGTGCTTTATTAGGATGGTCAGCTATACATGGATCATGTAATTGGTTGATTTGTTTGCCACTTTATGTAGCTGGTATTTGCTGGACTATTCTGTATGACACGATATACGCTCATCAAGTAAATATAAAAAAAAGTGAAAAATACAGTAGAAATCTTACATCGCTCATCAATTTCTTTCTGTATTAGGATAGAATAGATGATATTCGGATAGGTGTGAAGTCAACCGCCATAAAATTTGGAGAAAACACAAAATTTTATTTGTCTGGTTTTGGAATAGTAATGATTGCTAGTTTAATTACCTCTGGTATATTAACTACTCAAACGTGGCCTTATTATACTGCCCTTGGATTAATTGCAGCGCATATTAACAACCAGGTTAAAAAATTATGAATTATTAATTTAATATAATTGCATCCGAATAAAATTATTTCTTTCTTTCAGATATATACTCTAAACATTAACAATCCTACAGATTGTATGAAAAAATTCGTATCCAATCAAAATCTAGGCATGATATTATTTATTGGAATTGTATTAGGAAATTTAATGAAAAAATCAATATTGGAAAAAGAGAATGAAGTCAAAGAAACAAGGCATCAAGATATTGTATTGAATGAAATAAAAAATAGGCATAATTTATAATTCAGTAAGAATTTTAAATACCACTTTTTAATTAAAATAAAATTGGATGAAACAAGATAGATGTTATAAAAATATAAATTCTACTTAATTCATATGTGTTAAAATTTTCAAACGCTATAATTTCAAATAAATATTTTTATATTTAATTGGAATAGACATTATAAATAAAGCATATTTTTTATACTTTTAATCGTAACATCAATATGGTTTAATCATTTTCATGGTTATAAAATAAGAAAATTTCTTACAGCTGAAGAAACTTAGTATTACAAAGTAGAGCAAAATGTGATTTTTAGTTATAATAGTAAAATTCATTTCATTATATAATAAAATCTATTATTGTGTTTGTGATAATATTCATAATAAATCATTTTGAAGTAAAATTAAAGAGACATTGAAACAAGAAAATTATGTCTAGAATCTCAATTATTATTAATAATTCTTACAATAGCCATCTCGTTTCTTAATAATCTCTGTTATAAAATTCTTAACCAAGTCATTTTCTTAATAATAACTATAAATTTAAATGTTCTTTATTTTATATGTTATTGCTGTTTATTTTCCTTTTCTTTAATATGTTCAATATATTTGTCATGAGTTAATGTCGATACAGATTGTTTGAAATTTTCCAAAAATTTTATATTCGGTAATATTATAGCCAAGTATCCACCTTTATGTGGGAGTTTCTTGAGAAGTTGCGGGTTTTTTGATAATGCCTCGTTAACTTCGACCAACTTTCCAACTATATAGCATTTGATAACATATGTTTGTCCATCCTTGCATAATATAGTACAGATATTCGAATTAGTCTGCAATGGTTGCGCACCATGCTTACTCTTACCCGAGACTTTGTTCAGGGATCTATCCAATTTATTGCTAACCTTAAAATCGACTTTCTGTATATCTTTGTTGTCTTGCAAAATGATGTGACTAGGTGCCAAGGAAAGCATACAAATACGATTACTATGAATCCATATACACGTATCATTTCCTAGTGATTGCGCATCCATTTTGTAATAGGGGGTAAAATAACGATCAGTAACAGTAGGAAAACTACCACTATATTGTACTTCGTCCAGCATATCTGAGACATCCTCGTCAGGAGGAAATGTAAATGATTCGTCATCGCTATCAACAATCGCTAGTATCTCCTTATTACTATCTATTAATTCATCATGCTCCTCCTGTTCTTGAAGAGAAATTTCTCTTCCATCAACAATATCATTAACTGCATTTTCTTGCATATTGTCTTCTTCCTTCTTACAAGATTTCTTTCCATAATTTTCAGATTTTAATCGTTTGGTTTTTGGCTCGTCAACCTCTGATTCCAAATTCATGTTTGATTGTTAAAAGTATGTACTAGCACATACAAGAGTATATATAATTCAAATTGATTTAATCTAGAGTTGTCACAAGTAACACATACAGATTTCAACAGAATAATTAAATTAGTTGAATTATTTCTGTGGTTCACGGCTAATCGTTGCTACTTTCTGATTGTGACGGTTTCATCATTTTTAACCTTCGTTGGAAACGTGCGCTTTCTGTCCTACGAATTTCTCTCTGAAACAAACAGCGGGATTAAATCATATTAATTCCGGAGTGAGTCATATTAATTTCGGAGTGAAAATCGGGGACAACTTACTTGTTCCTTTATGCATTTGATCATAGCTTGATGGATATGTTCGCAATAACCCACTAACCTTCGATACGGATGCTGCAAGTATATATAAAATTGTTGAGACGATACCAGTAAAATTGAGTGATATTACCTCAGCCTCACAATCCTGAAATTGGCGATATATCTCGTTACAAGCGGCATTGTGTGCTGCCAGCGATTTGTAATTCATATCTTTATTTTGGTAAAGTCATTTATAAAATTCCTCGTATCTTTCATTATGCAATCGAATCTGAGCGACAATTGTAGTATTCGTACTTTGAATATTATACTTTCGTAGTTATATTTCGTGATGTAAGAGGGCCTCCGCATGCACAACCGTCATTGCCATAAAGTCACTAGATTTATGAAGTACTAACAGCTTAAGAAAATCACAAAACTGAAAGCACAACCTTCTGCCGAAAAAAACGATATATGATATTTTTTAAGATAACTAAAATAATTAATTTTGTATTTTTTATTACATGTATTATGATGTACTTTGTTACTATACACATGCGGCAAAAATAATTATTAAATAATCCTTGATTTTTCACCATATCAATATTATGTTTTCAGTTTTGCAGTTGGCAGTGCTGAAATTTAATTCGACCGATCTAAGTGATTAATCGAAGTTGGTGAGACTGGCTCGAAGCATAACAAATGACTGTCTTTCAATTTATTTCAAATTGACTATCTGCGCTGAAAATGCTACAATTTACGTTACGTGCATTATAGATTTTCAGTACAGGCAGTCAATTTTGAAATATAGCCATGTCAATCGCTACCAGACTTAAAGCATCAGACCTTGATTCGAATTCCAGCGGAGCAACTGATTTTCTCGTGCTATCGATTACGCTTTAGGTATTCGAATTATATTATTTCAAAATATGCAATATGAATGTTGAATGAGTTATATTTTGCTTCTATATATATATATGTATATATATACATATATATGTATATATATATATATATATATGTGTGTGTGTGTGTGTGTGTGTGTGTGTGCATGCAAGATGCAAA